CCATGCATGATGTTAATAATAGAAGAGAAGAAGAAGGGGTGTGTGGGAACTCTGTACATTCTTGTTAATATTTCTGCAAACTTAAAACTGCTCTAAAAACAGTCTGTTAACTAAAAAATACAGTTCATAATTACCTTGGATCCGAAGACTCCTCCTGTGCCCTCTGCCAGCGAGGTTGTGATTGTGAGTGGGGAGCATAAGGAAACTTGTTCTCATAATGTGGGTCGCCCTGGGTATTGCCATGACTGGCAGAATTGACACAGGCACAGTGGTCTTTGGTGAGGCTGTTGCTTAGAGAGTAAGCAGGGGCATTATGAGGGATGTCAGAGGAGTTTGGCCTTGATTCTATAAACAGTGGGGAGCCATGGAGAATTTTATCAGGAGAGTGACACGGGGAGAGCTGAGCTTCAGGAGACCTTGCATAATTAGTTCTGCCCTTTTGCTGGGCCTCATTCCTCTGTCTGCAACCCAGGAGTCTGCACTAGGCCATCAAGGAGGTCATCTTCAGCTCTAAGGTCCTGAGATCAAAGCCTTTCATGACTTCCCAAGACCCTCTTCCTCCCTGTCCCATCCCCTCTTTATTTTTCTGCCACCCAGTGTTGTGCTGTGACTGGAGCTGCCTGCTGGGGGAATGTGTGCTAAATGAAGTCTGTGCCTTGGGAGCAATTGTTTTATTTTATTTTCTTGCTCCTTTTGAAATCTTCAAGGAGAAAAACCAAATCTGTGCCTGCCCCGAGGAGGAGCAACTTGGAAGGGAGTTAGAAAGACAGAGATGGGTAATCAAATCCCCTCGGTGCTTCTGCCAGGGCTGTTTCCTGCTAGAAAGACTTGACTCTGAGGCGTCCAAGCTGTAAGAGGTCCCGTGCTCGACCCAGCTTGGAAGGCTCCAGCTGCTTGTGTGAATTGGGGGAGGTTTCTCTGCTTCTTCCAAATCAGCTCCTGTCATCACAGTGTGATTTATGAGCTTTTCCTCTAAAATATGAGAACATTGGCTCCTGATTATGTCCTGTAATGGAGGAAGGCAGGGGCTGCAGCATTTCTGATAAATACTATCTCTTTAGACCACCATCTTGTTACAAAAAAGGTACAAGAGGCTGCATACAGATGGATTAAAGTCTTTTTAAAAAATAAAATAAAATAAAATAACACAGCCTCAGTCTAATGGGGTGTCAGGAGGGTTATTGCTCCCATCTGAAGGCTCCGGGCTTGATTTCTAGCTTAATTGCCACATACCAGCTGTTAAGACCAGAGGCTACTTACCTCTGAGCCTCCACTTCTCCATCTATGGGGGAAAAGTGGGGGAACACTAGCAGTGCCCACGTTATAGGGGATGCTGTGCAGAGTATGTGAGATGAATAGCTGAAGAACTCAGCACCAGGCTCGGGCAGTGCTGGGATTATTAGGATTATTCTAAACCCCAAAGAGTGGATGGTCTAAAAGTAATTTGAAAAATATTTGTAAAGCATTTTTATAATTATGTGTTGATATGGCAGGGCTTGAACCAGGAACGAAGGCATCTCAATCCAGTTCTACAAGTAGGCCGTGTCGTAGGCGTACCTGTACAGTTTGCTACAGTTCCTAGGACAAAATGTGGCCTTGGACAAGCTCCTGATCTTAGTTCACACAGAGCCTTAGTTTCTCCAACTGTACAGATGGATAATATAATATCCATGTCTTGTGTGTGCTCTGTGTGAGTGTGTGCGATGTGTGGTGTGTGTGTGTTATATGAGGTGTGTGGTGTGTATACATGTGAGTGTGTGTGGTATGTGGCATGGTATGTGGTATGTGTGGTTCTGTGTATGATGGGTATATGTGAGTGTGTGGTGTGCATGGTGCGTATGTGTTGGGTTTGGGGTATATGTGTGTGTGGTGCATGTGTGGTATGTGTGAGTGATGTGTGGTATGTACGTGTGTGGTATATGGTGTGTGTGTGTTATGTGGTGTGTATGGGTTAGTGTGTGTAGTGCGTATGAGTGGGTGTGAAGTATGGTATGTGTGTGGTGTGGTGTGGTGTGTGCGTGTGTTTGTGTTGAGAGAGACTCCCATAATCACAACACTTAGTGTCTTTGGGTAAAAGCCCTTGGTAAAGGTAAATAGTAATTTGCTATACCGATATTTACATCCTGATGACCCATGTGTGCTAAGAGAATCCACCCTCAGAGCTTAAATTTTATTTGAGGAGCTAAGGCAGATAAGACACAGGTACATGAAAGAATTAAAAACCAGCAGGAGGTGGTCTGAGCCTAACAAGTACCACAGGAGTTCAAAGGAGGGTCATGAGGGCTGAGCAGTCCAGACTTCCTGGGAGGAGCAGTGCTTGACATGGGCTCGAAAGCAGTGGTTTTGGTTTTGAAATTTTTTTGCTTGCCTACCCTCTAAATGAACTTAGGGAGAAAAAAATCTCTTTGCCTCACACATTTTAACTTGACATCTGAAAAGTTTCATTGTAAGTTTGAGTAGTTACAAAGGATATAATTTCTGCCATATTGTAAATATTGACCTTGTAAAGTAAAATTATAGTACTCTCTTAAATGTATCAAATGGAAATGAAATAACACAGCAATTTTTCATTTTGCCTTTTTATTGAAGTATCACTTATATAAAGTAGAATGCACAGATCTTAAGCATGCAGCTCAATTAATTTTTACCAGTGAACTGACCACCCAGATAGAGGTGGGGTATATATCCAGCATTCCAGAAAGCACCTTTGTGCCCCTCTCAGTCACTATCCATTCCAAAGGTGACCATTTCTCTGACCTCTCTCATCACCATGTCATCATATATACCACTATAAATTAGTTTTGCATTATTTCCTTTGTTCTGGCTTCTTTCAATAAACATGAGCTCTGTGAGATTTAAGCATGTCCCTGCAGGTAGCAGTACTTCGTTTTTCATTGTTGTATAGTATTCCACTAAAGGAATATTTCACATTTTAAAAAATTGTGTCTACTCTTAGTGGACATTTTGGGTTGTTTCTAACATTTGGCTACAAAGCTACTGTGTTTTCTTCTCTATATTTTGTGGACATAAACACTGATTTCTTTGGGGTATGTATTCATGAGTGTAATTGACAGGTTATAGGATAAATACGATAATTCATTGATGTCCATCACCATTGGTCAAAAATTAACTGCACAAGTCAGAAATTTTACATTGTTCCTTTCTTTACCATCTTGAACTCATAATTCCCTTCTATTTCCTTCATAGAATTTTATCTTAATATATTTTTATGCTTGAAAACTTTTTTATTGATTACTCTATCATACTTCTTTTTACCCAAAATATGTATGTGAATGGAAATGGATGTTTAAAAAATTCCCTTTAACCATAAAACTCAAAATATCCTTCTTTTGGATTGATTTATTGTACAACTCATCAAAATAATATAAATGCTTTCTAATTTGATAAAGAACTACTGAACATAAAATGTAAGATAGTCTGGGAAATACTTCTCATAGTGCGGTGGACAGGGTGGTTGATGCCAGTGCTTCTCATACATTACAGTGCATAAGGACCATTGGGGATCTGCTACAGTGCAGATTCTGATTCAGAAGGTCTGGGGTTGGGGCCTGAGATACTGGCAACCCCAGTGCTGCTGGTCCATGGGTCACATTTTGAGCAGCAAGAGTCCCTAGATTAAAGGAAGATTTGCTGACACCAACATTCTCCATTGTCCATTTTTTGGGGGCACCCAGATATCTTGACACTTAGGGTCACTGAACCTTAGTCGGATTCTGTATGAGGGAGAAGCTGGTCTGCAAAGAGGGAGAAAGACTGCTGTGAAGAGGAGGTGGCACAGGGAGGGGTCAGGCCGTCTAGACCGACAGTCTCTGGTGGAGCAGGAGCATGGGAATGGAAGCAGGACCGCCAGCGGATTCCCTTATAACTCTTCCTGCCTGCGGCCCCCTGGGGAGTGTTCGTGTACCCCAGGGTAAGGCTTCCCCCTTGAAGACCACTTCTCTAAAGGATGCTACGATGGTGCTGTCACCATTTCAGAGGGTGCCCATTAATGCACGTGAGATTGGACATTTCAAGGACTGATTTGGATGGTTTTACAGTGTATTGGGGGTAAATCCAGGGAAGGTACGTTTGGGGCTGAGTGATAGAGGGCTTTGCGTTCCACACTGAGGAGTGGGACTTAATGCTCAGGTAGAAGGGGCCATGAGATGATTTGAGCAGGGTAGTGGTGTGAGCAGGGTGCTGAGTGGCTTGTGGGGTGGCCGGGAAAGAGCTAATGCAGTGACAACACTGTGGGCTTGACGATGAGGTTGGCTGTGGTCACTGAGATTCGCTGGCTGTGATTTTTATCTCCACCACCCTCGACCCCCACTTTTGCCCTGGTTGCTCAGACCCCGTTTGCTCCGTCAGTGTTTCCTGAAGTGTGCGCGACATTCCTCTAGTGGTACCTGAGATGTTTATGCACGGAGCTCAGGATAATTCAGAGTGGAACACTGACGTGGCCTAAAGTAACACTGAAACCCAAGAGCGAATGGCACCCCTCCAGCCCTGTCTCCCGCCGACATCTTTCTTTAACGCTGCTCACGGTCCTATTTTTCTTTTGTTGATAGCAAGCAGCTTAGGCTTCGATAAGCAGTAGTCTCTAGAGAGAATTTTACAAAACTTTTGTTTTCGTTGAATTAATTTTCTGTGTACCGGCATGGCAAGTGGTCCTAGTTTCCCCTTACTGTAGTGACATAAAACTGTTTATTTTAAATAAGCTCATTCCAATAAGAAAAGTGAGCCAGTGTACTAGATGGTACGGAAGGAATAACAATGCTGGAGGTACGCGGATGGGGCAGATGTAGTGGTGGCAATGTGCAGTGGTCCGACTCTGGGAAACACTGGGTTAGAACATGTGGCAAAAACTGGCGAGTGCCAGGCCCTTGTGCCAGTGAGTGGAGAGGCTCTGGGTGGTGGTGGGGAGGCACTGGGTCGGCTGGGTGGGTCCCACGGCTGCCCCACCACCAGCCTGACATCCCATTCCTTGCCTCTGCCCGCAGAGATCCGCACGCAGCTGGTGGAGCAGTTCAAATGCCTGGAGCAGCAATCCGAGTCTCGGCTGCAGCTGCTACAGGACCTCCAGGAGTTCTTCCGCCGGAAAGCTGAGATTGAGCTGGAGTACTCCCGCAGCCTGGAGAAGCTGGCCGAGCGGTTCTCCTCCAAGATCCGCAGCTCCCGGGAGCACCAGTTCAAGTGAGAAGGGGCCAGGGGCTGGGCGAGGGGAGGGCAGTGCTGGGGAGGGCGGGCAGTTGGCCGCAGTACTGAGAGAAGGCGAGGACTCATTGGAGGGAGATGGCTGCCTCTGAGACCCTGGGTCTGCAGGACACAACACCCCCAAGCCTCAGTCTTCCTTAGTGGAAAGTGAAGATAGACTAGTTCCTCTGCATAAGGGAGCTGCAGGGGATAAGTGGGTAACTGGACAAGATAGTAAGTGCTCAATAAATCGCTGTTGTCGTTCTCATCCGACCAGGGACTGTGCTAGCCTCCATTTGGGCCAGGGTAACACCCCGCCTCCTTTCAGGGTATCCTGGCCCTATCTTGTGTTTTGGGGCCAGCCAGCCACTTCTGAATTTCTTTAGCACAAGGGCCTCAGAATGTCTTCTTCATGGAACCGGTGCTCAAAGCATTTCTCTTCCTTACTCCCCTGGAGGACGCATGCCGGGCTGTTTCCCTGCCTTGTTACTTTTTTGCGACACTCAAACCCCCCATGTACTAGTTTCTCACGCTCCAAGTGCTGAGTTCTTGGGGACACGGTCCTCTCAGGTTTGTGGGGACTCTGAGCCCTCCAGCTGCATCACCTGCTGTGCTCAAAGCTATCCTAAGTGTAGGCAGAAGATAGAGCCTCACATGGGCTTACTCACCCAGTGGGCAGCACCCCTCTGCAGCCCTTGTCCTCTTCCATGCTCCCCAGAGGGTGCCCTTTCTCGGAGCATCTCTCCAGCCAATGGCCCTCAACCCCAGGAGGCCAGAGACTTACTTCAGCCCACCTGACCTGATCCTTCTTTCTCTGTGTCCAAGCACTTTCCTCTCTTTCTACATATTTTTACATTGTGGTAAAATACACGTAACATTAAATATACCATCTTAACCATTTTTAAGTGCACAGTTTCATGTATTATCCACATTCAACAGTCATGTGGCTATCCGCAACATTTATCTCCAGAACTTTTCATCTTCCCGAACTGAAACTGTGCCCGTTCAACATGAACTCCCCTTCCCCTTCCCCCAGCCCCTGGCAACCAGCACCCTGCTTTCTGTCTCTGAATCTGACTACTCTGGGGACCTCATGTAAGTGGGATCCAATAGTGTTTGTCCTTTGTGACTGGTTTATTTCACTTAGCATAGTCCTCAAGGTTCATCCATGTTGTAGCATGTGACATAGTTCCTTTTTTTTTTTTTTTAAGGCTGAATACTATTCCATTTATATACAGACCACATTTTGTGTATTCACGCATCTGTTATGCTTCCAGCTCCCTGTCTGTTTTTTGCATCCCACTCTGGCCCGGGAGCTGGCTTCCTGTAAACTCCCCTAAGCATCTTCCTCAATCTGGGCCGCAGCATTTGAACACTTGCTTTTGTGCTTTCTCTTGACATCTGGGAATAAAAAGTTGCTTTATTAAAGGGCAAAAATTCAGCCCTGGCCAGTTTTTCTCAGTGGTTAGAGTGACAGCCCGAGGACCAGTGAGTCTCAGGTTTGATTCCAGTCAAGGGCACGTACCTCGGTTGCGGTTTGTCCCTGGCCCTGGCCCAGGTGCAGGAGACAACCAGTTGATGTGTCCCTCTCACATCAATGTTTCTCTCTCTCTCTCTCTCTCTCTCTCTCTCACTCACTCTCTATCTGAAGATAAATGGAAAAATATCCTTGGGTGAGGATTAAAAAATAAATAAATAAAAAAGAAATAATAATAAAGGGCAAAAACTCATTGCTACCTTGCAAATACCATTCCTTGTTTTTCTACCCAGTTGCAGCTCTTTAAATTTTCGCCACAGAAGGAAGCTTCTAGAAATAACTTCCTCCCAGGCACTGTCTGGGTCCTTTCACATACATAATCTCATTTTTCTGTTACATATTTTGGAGAAATATGTGGTGTTTTTTTTTCCGAGTGACAAAAGCAAAATGCTCATTGTATACGATTTAGAAAGAGCAGAGAGGTAGGAGAGAAAAACACAGCCCTGCACCTCAGAAGCAGCCGCCGCCCACGTTTTGGTGCCTTTCCTTGCCTGTCTTTTAATGATAACAATGGCAACGGTAATTTATTGGGTGTGTTAACTGAGCACTTACTTTGTGCCATGTGGGCATTACTACCGAATCTTAAAGACGAAGACAGTGAAATTCTGAGAAAGCAAATTGTCTGAACATGTCTGTGGACTGTCACTGGAGACAGATTTGAACCCTCACGGTGGTTCTGCCTCCTCGGCCTGAGACAGGAGAGGCCTGGATGCAGCCTGGGAGCAGCCGTGGGATCTGACACTCCCCTAAAACCACAGACGCAGACCCACGCTGGGAAACCCAGGTCTCAGCTGAGCTGTCACGGGGCCATCCAGGGCTGTGCGGTCGGCCTGGAGCGTCGGCGCCTGCCCCTCTCCTTCCTCTTGGTTTGGGATCAGCTCCCTTCCCATTCTCAGTGTGAACAAGGAGGAGAGGGGAAAGGCGGGTCCCCTGTTTCCTTGCATGGCTTGTAATGAGCTTGGCCAGCCCCTCACGGGTTCATTAACTGGAGCCACCAGACGGAACAGGAGCCCCAGCTGGCAGTTGGGCTAAGCAGGCGGCTTGACACAGAATGAAAGTCTAATGAGGGAGTGGGCAGGCCAGTGCAGCTGGCGTGGGCCCTCTGCACCATGCTAATGTGACGGCAGAGCCCCAGCGGCTTTTGGAAGCAGGAGCCTCTGGGGTATGTCTGGACTTGCCCTTTGGCCCCAGGGCCGACCGGCACTGACCCCTGGCTGCCTCTTCATTGGAGCTCAGCACACGGGCACTTCGTCCTGGCTGTCCAGAGAAGCCTTGACTTGCTGTCTTACAGATGCTTCATTTAAGGGGGTCTTCCAGGTAGCCTCTCGGGGCCTTGAGGGCAGTGTCTAGGTCTTGTTATTTTTTTCCCACTGCACTTGGGCCAGTGCCGGGCCGAGACGGGTTGTTTGCCAAAGAGTGGGAGAAAGGGAGGGAGGGGATTTTCTTAGCCTATAAAGTTCACTCTGGCCGAGAGATTTGGTTCAGAGAGCGAACTGATCTGTTCCAGATCTCACAGCAAATTACTGGCAGAACTGGGGTGGGAACCATCTTGGTCTGTTTGGCTGCTGTAATAAAGCAACGCAGACCGGGTGGCTTAGAAACAGGAACCTGTTTCTCTTGATTCTGGAGGCTGGAATTCTGAGATCAGGGTGCCACGTGGTCTGTTTCTGCTGAGGGCCCTTTTTCAGCTTGTAGACCACTGATTCTCCTTGTACAGCCGGCCCTCGTGTATCACAGTTCATCAGTTCCAGATTCTACCGCGATAAATGAATTTCCGTGAAGTAGGATTCTTATTTATTTGAAAAAACCGCGGTAGAGTGAAGCCGCGGAAGTCGAAGTGCGAAGTGGCAGGGACAACTGTATTCTGACGTGGCAGAGAGCAGAGAGATGACGCAAACTCCAGTGACTCTTAGAAGGGCACTAATCCCATTATCGGGGCTCCACCCTCATGGCATCATCTAACCCTAATTACCTGCAGAGGCCCCACCTCCTAATACCATCAGTTTGGGCTTATGGGTTTAACATGACTTTTTCGGGGACACACCTTCAGTCCATAACAGGAACTGCAGTCTCTTGACTCTAAGTCCAGTGTTCCTCCTTTTGCTGTGGGCCCCAGCTGCTCCCAACTAAAAAATGTAGTCGCCCAGGAGGTGCTGTGTCCAGAGCACATGATTAAGAAAGGCTCAAATGATAGCTCCCAGGGTTTACCTGGGGCAGACTGAATATTGAGAGTAAAATCCCATCACGTTTCTGTTCTAATCACACCCTTTTCAAAGCACTCTGCCATCTTTGCTGATGATCCTGATGATAAGCCAGGGGCATGGACAGGACCGGGTGGCTTTATCTCAAGGCGCCTGAGTGCCAGACAAGCCGGGTCTTCTTTTGCAAAGGACCAGAGCACGCTGTTGAGGGGGAAGACTCACCATTCCAGACTCGCAGCTCAGGCTCCTGTCTCCAGGAAGCCATGCCCGTCCTTTATTTATTTGAAACGCCTGTAATGAGGATCTCTTATTTTCTTGGACTATGCTCTGTGCCGAAGACACAAAAATGAACAAGACATAGTCCCTGCACTCAGATATTCTCTCTTCTCTCGGCAACGGAGCTCGTGGCCGGGGGCACGCCCATGGCTGGTATGGTTGGGACAGACACCCACTCCCTACAGCTGTTTGCTGCCGCCTGCTTACTCTCCAGGTCAGCGTGCAGGTGTCACTTTCTCTGGAAACTTCTCTGGAATCTGACCTGATGCTTCCTCTGTGTGCCCATGATATTCTGTACCTGTTGCTTTGCTTATTCATCTAATATGTATGGAGCCCCTGCCAGGCCCTGGTTTACAGTGATGAACAAGAGACCTGGTTCCTGCCATGGTGGAATTTAGCATCTAGCGGAGGAGAGAGGTGAAGATTCAAATATAAAAATACGAAGAAAAAAAAAAAGACAGTGTGTCATCAAATGATTCCTAGGATGGAAGTAAATATAATATGCTGTGTTCTGGTTATCTATTCTATGTAGCGGCAGTACCCCCTAAACTTAACGTATCTCATGATTTAGTGGGTCAGGAATTTGGATAGGGCTCAGCTGGGTGATTTTTCTACTTTATGTGGTATCAACCGGAATCACTTAGCGATATTCAGCGGGTGGCTGGTCTGGGCTGGAAGGTCCAGGACAGCTTCATCCATGTACTGGGCGCTTTGGTGGGGTGGCTGGGAGGCTGGGCCAGCTGCGCTGCCTCCCTCTCCGTGTGGTGTCCGGGCCTCTCTGCCTGGTGCTTCAGCCAGGTGGGTGTAGGACTTCAGACATGGTTTCTCAGGGCTCTGAGCAAGCAACGGGGAAGCTGCAGTCCTCCTGCAGGTGCGGCCTAGAATGGGCGTAGCAGCACCATCAGCCCTGGCTCAGCATCCCGGAGACAGGAGATGGAGCCCTCTTCTAATGGGAGGACGGCCGGAGGCTCGGCAGCCCTCGTTAG